TGCGACAGGCCCACTGTGGAACTATAGCTGTTAACACACACCCACGCGCACACACACACACACACACACACACACCCTGACAGATACAAACTTATTTAGAACACCAGGAAACTGCTCTTTCAGACTCAGACACACACGCACGCACACACACACACACACACACACACACACACACACACACACACACACACATACATACACACCAGGCCACTGGGCAGACTCTTGACCATGTCACACACTGCTGTCGTGTTGTTTCACTTATGTGGGTTCTAGTTGTGTGTGTGTGTGTGTGTGTGTGTGTGTGTGTGTGTGTGTGTGTGTGTGTGTGTGTGTGTGTGTGTGTGTGTGTGTGTGTATGGGGGGGTTATGTTTGTATAATCTGTAATCTCAGGTCATGTTATTTCCACTCCCATTCCAGCTGCTTCAGATCAGTACATCTCCCTCTAGCGGTGTGTCCTGGCATTACACACTGAAGAGAAGCAGTTCTGCTGACTACTGCTACTGATACTACACACACTCACTGATGCAGCTCTCTATGAGCTCTCCTCTAACATCCATCACTGGCAGACACCCTGTGAGGTGCAGCGACAGGAAATGCAACAGTGTGAGGTGGTGAGACGGTCAGTCGAGTGACCTGTCTGTACCATGACAGTCTTTAGAATGAATGTGAGCAGTTCTGCCTGGATGCCATGATGCTCATCTGAGCTGCGTGAACACTGTTTCCAGTTGTTAGCCAGCTGTGGTGACGTGTACGGACAGCCTGAGGTGCAGCTCCAGGGATGGGATTTTGATTCCGGACTGTTTAGATCTTTCACCTTTGTCTCTCTCTTTATGTTGCTGCTCATGTCCACTGGATGCAGCTGCCAGGAACAGTCCTCTGGATGCATGCTGTTTTCTCCACTCCACTGTCGTATATGTCGTAGATACAACAGGGCGGGGCGCTTCACAGCAACAAGGTTCTGTGCTGTGTCTGCAGGTCCAAAGACATGCAGGTTAATTTCCGGTAGGTGTGAATGTGAGTGTGAATGGTTATTTGGGTCTATATGTAGATAGACTGGCAACCTGCCCAGGGTGTACCCTGCCCTCGCCTAGTTCCAGCCCCCCTACAACCATTAAAAGGTAAACGGTACATCTGATGGATGAATGGAAGTAAGACTGTATTGATCCCCGGGGGGAAACAGTGTTTCACCTGTGCACGGAGGCTGAGAGGCAGAAAACAGATGAGCTATATACAATATATACACAACAATTCACAGTGGTGTTCACATACAAACTGCTGAGGTCCTGCTCTGTCCATTTAGCTTGTACATGTATTCATACTGGCTGCTCAGGTAACTAACACACCACTAAACCCATAGTTAAACTTCACCGCATTCCTTTCAATTGACTTTGACTTTTTTTTCTTTTATTATTCTACCAGGAAGTCCCAGCAGCTGTACAAACTCACAACATATTCAAATGCAGCATAAAGCATAGACTTACTTACTTGAACTCAGTCAGTTAAGGTTTATTTCACACATTTTTCCTCATTCAGGTCCAATCAGGGTGCAGACAGTAGGTGCCCGTTATATTCTTTTATTGGCTTGGCAGCCAGCTGAGGTTACCTGCAGATACAGTACCTGCTCACATGAACACCTGAGCATGAACAGTATAGATGTCCCACACATTTATGTCGACAGATCTTTAAAGGTCAGAAGAGACCTCCAACACTCAGAGGGTGGGTCGTTTTTGAAGCCTCTGCTTCACCTCTGCCCTTCAACATGGATCCCTGCACTAGATGCCAGAGTCCAAGCAGGACCTCAATGAACCCTTAGGACAAGAAAAGCTCACAAAAACATTTCAGCATCTGTTACCTATATACATGAAGTGAGAGGAGGGTGGGGAGTGGGTGGAGACAGAGGAAGAAATGTTAACTAAACAGCATTTGAGACAAAGCACCTTCATTTCAGTAAAACACCTGAAGCAGAAAAACCCAGCGACAGTAAATGTGTGAAGATCAGGCAACTTGAAGATGTGATGCAGCTGCATCCAGTGGACATGAGGGGTCAGTCACATCCCTGTTGAGTTACATAGCAAAGCTGTTCTACAGTGAGGATTTAACCAGCAAAAACCACTGAGTATTTTTGTCGATGGGTTAATGACATTAAAATGATAAGCATGAATCCTGGAATCAGAGAAGGTGGATTGTGCTGCTTGTAGAGGTCCAGGACCAGGACCAGGACCAGGACCAGCAGCAGCTGTACGGCACTCGAGGTGGCTGAGCATCCAACAGTGATCCGGAAAAAAAAAGCATCCACACCAGTGTTATACACAACAAGCAGGGATGTGACTTTATCTTTTGATTTCACTGTTCCTTTGTTTCCACACAATTTTGCCACTCATTTACATTTCTGTGAAGTTCATGACAGTTTGAATCAGATCCCTGAGCCGCTCTCACTCCTGGTGCTATATGTATTATGGTCAGTGAAGGCCATGATAATAATCATAATAAAGAGAGTGATGATATAGTTGGAATATAGTATTAAATGGCTGCTTACACGTATATAATAGGTTTCACCTGAATACTTTTGGCAATGGCCATTTAGTCCCTTCTATGAAGCAATTGATTGAACAGACAGACACACGGACAGACAGATGGGCGACCACTGACTATGGCACAGGGGGGGTGTGAAATAAGACCCGCACTCAAAATGTGTTGGTCTCATTATAAAACTGGACCGGAGCTGATCTGGATTTACCTTTCTTGAAAAATCCTGCAGTCCTATAGGTCGGTCATTTCCCATTCTCCTATAGGCTCAGGGAGCTGTCAGTCATCCCAGTGTTGTCGTCCTATAGGCTCCTCTACAACTACCTCCACAGCAGCAAAAACACAGCCCATCCTTTCTACTGTCACGCTGTCATCAGCCTCTCGCCTGTGAATGTCTACACACACACACACACACACACACATACATACAACCACACTACACAACAAAGTGCTGGACTCCCTCCTGTTTTCCCGTCTTCATTAACAAGTTTTCTTCTAATGGTACATGATAGCATTGTGGTTCAGCTGCCAACCACGCCCCCACCCCCAACCCCCCCACTCCTCCTCATCATCATTATGGCCTCTAGTTCCTGTGCAGAACAAACCTGTGGATCCCAGAAAGGGACTGAAACCCAAGTAGATGTATAACCATGAATCGTGACATACAGTAATGCACACAGAAGTAAGCATCAGATTCAGTTAGGAAATATTACTGGACTGTAAGACACTGGATATACAGTAATTAGCCTTAAGGCGGGTCAGTATGCTCAAAACAAACTGTTTGTGTCGTCTGACTGTGTTTAAAGGCAGTATTTCTTCCTCTTATGAATCCCTGCGCCCGCCTTGAAGTGTGCTCTCAGTATCCACACTGGAAGGCCATCAGAGCCTCCTATTGGCTGCGTCCCACTGCCTTGTCGACAGTCTGTGAAAGAATTCTGTGTCTTTCGTGTGTCTTTGTAGTCTCAACATGATGAATCGTACAAACAATGATAATGATGACACTGTCGGACTGTCCTCAGAGACATTCATTGTGTTGCGCTCAGTAGTTCACACAAAATGAAGCAGAGAGAGTTCAAATCCTTTCTTTCCTCCACACACCTGTCCAGTCAGCGTGAGGTGGGTGTGACCGTCGGATATTCGGTTTTGGGAAGTTACAAAAATTGCCAAACACAGTCCCTAAAGAGAGGTTTCAATTGTAGAAGATCATGCAGTGATACGATGCAAAACACCAAGGGAAACTCTCTCTGAATGAAGAATCACTATAACACAAACTGCGTTACATGCATTTGATCATTTTAGGTGTAGAAATACATCAAACTGTGTGACATGGACAGTTGTCACTCTCACCCTGAGTGAACTTGACTGATTCCCTGCATTCCTTGTTGCTATATATACAACTGTTGGTCTGGGAGACTATGCTAATTCCACAACCAACCACTAGGAGTCAGGACGAGAACTCTTACTGGTTTCCCACCTCCAAACACGTTTGTTGGCACACGTGACCAAGCCGAAGGTACTGCTACTAGGAGTCAAACTCCTGCAGTGGCAGACTAGAACTTCAATTCAAATCAATTAAATTTTATTTGTATATTGCCAAATCATAACAAACATTATCTCAAGGCACTTTACAGGGTAAGAGACTTACTTTATTAAGGTCGAGACCTTACTTTAGTATAGAGAGAAACCAACAGTTCCCACAGAGAGCAGCACCTGGCGAAAAACTCCCTTTAACAGGAAGAAACCTCCAACAGAAACAGACTCAGGGTGGATGGCCATCAGCCTCGACTGCCACTGCCATGTGCACCACATCTTACATGAAACTGTCTCGAACCCATTACAGAACAAGTGAAACAGTTCCGGTACGCTGGCCACAGGATTAGGTTTCTACTTCCTGACCCAGTGCTGTGTTGGGTTTTACTTTCTAGCACTGTATGTGGTTCTACTCTGCATCTCACCATTACACAATGAAAGAGATCTATAGTTTTTTCCACCACTGCTTCTTGGGTTTTAGTCCCCAGGGACTACAATACAAGGGAAACTCAAACCCTTGAGCCGATAATGTTCTGTTCTCCAAGTATTCTAGGACTGTAGTTGGTAGTCGACAATGTCAGCAGGCTTGCAGTACTACTTAAGGGTTTTAGTCCCTCTTCTACTAATATTCTTGGAGTATACTGTACATCCTCTATCAGCATTAGGGTTCTTTTCTCTCCTCTAACCCAACAGTAGGCTTCCAATCCATTGCAAAGACCACAACACCAAGGCTTTAGCTCCTACTACATCCTTACCGTAGGGTTCTGGTCCCAGTTTTACCTCTACAGAAGGGTTTGAAGTGCCAGCTGTACTCACATGGATTAGCCTTAGCCCCGATTCTATGACAACAGACAGACAGGGAGTCCAGATTGTGTTAGTCAAGTTCTAGTTTCTGTTCTACCTTTACCATGTCCCTACAAATACAGTAGTTTCAGTCTCTTGT